CAGGTCATTTCCTGTTGTTAATAAATATCAACAGGTCATTTCCTGTTTGTTTCGGTAGATAACCATCAATTAGTTTGGTCTTACTGAAGGTGAAACACATGGAAAGGTTTTGGTCTTTTTCTAAAGCCGAGCTAAAGTTCAGTGCTGCTGCAACATGTTGCTAAAGTATTCACCACCTTTGGTATTTTTCTGTTTTGTTGCCTTACGACCTGAATGTTAATTTCATTTTTAATTGGATAATAAGTAACAAATACAAAATATTCCAGGTTCAAGACTTTACACAAGAAAAAAGTAAACAAAATATTAAACTGAAAATGTATTCACCAGTTTGCATTGAAGCCCCAACCATTACCTTTCACACAGCTCAGAGACAAATGTAGAGAATACAGATGAGGGTTGGATTCTTAAAAACATCCCAGATCTCACAAGCTCTGTTTGATCCTTCACAACCACAAACTTACCAAAACTCAGAGCGGGTAAGGAGGGCATTAATCAGAGAAACATCCAGTAGACCGAAGGTAACCTCGATGGCGCCGGGCAGATCTACAAACCTGGTAGGGTCTGTTCATAGGGCCACTATAAGCTGCACGGAGCTGGGCTTCATGAAACTGTTGGAAGATTCTTCCACAAACGGTCTTCCCAGACATAGTTTCTGTGCATGTGAAGAGAACAGTGACGTATTCAAATGAGACCAACAGAACTTTTTGATCATCAAGAACTACCCCATGTCTGATTCAAGTCTACCACTCGTCGTGATGAGAGCACCATTCCTATAGTGAAGCATGGTGGTGGCAGCTTCATGTATGGGATTGTGAAACTGGTCAGAATCTTCCAGAGATGTGAGACAGGGACAGAGGTCCCCCTTTCAGCAGGACAATGACTCTAAATTCCCTGCTGGATCAACTCTCCACTGGTCTAAGGAGAACCAGTTAAATATGTTGGAGTTGAAGCCCAGACCTCAGTTCAACTGAGAATCTGGTTTGATTTAAAGATAGCTGGACACAAGCAGCACCCATCTAACCAGAATGAGCTGCAGCGGTTTGGTCATGAAGATCGGACAAAAGACCATGAAGATGAACCTACAGTAAAGACCTGAAGCTTGGACAACTTCCCTCTGTTAGGTTGTGTAAATTAAAGGTTAGAAACTCCACAAGGTTCATTTCAAATGACAACTTTTAAACCAACTGTGTGGAATGAATTCCATGGTGGTGAATACTTTTACAGCACAATTTTTATTAGAAATCTTTTACCTGAACTTCGATCAGAAGATTCCCGTTTCACATCGCGATACAGAGAACAGGACGTCCTGTTTGAATGCAGCTTTTTCATGTTTTTGTACTGAACGACTGTTTGTACTTTCGTCGTATTTGCATTCAAACCAGCTTTTTGTCACATGGATGTTTGTATGACTGAAAGCTGGTAGAAGACCTCAGACACCTGGTTGAACATTTCACACATCCTGCAGGGAACAGCTCACTAACTAGTTGGGTATAAAATGGATCATCTTACAGAAACTCAGCAGTAAACGTGTCCACGTCTCTGTAAGACGGAAAGGCCTGACTGGAAAGATTCGGGCGTGGCTACATGCTGAGGTTGAGTAAAGCTTCACTTCAGTTTTTAAGATCAGAAATCTAATTCCGTCAAAGAGTAACAGATGATATGGTTGCATGAGTGTAAATGACATATATTCACTTTTTTATTTTGTAAACTGCTAAAATTGTACCTAAATAAAAAGATTTTTAAATGCAAATATGTTTCATCCATCTGAACCCTGTCTTGTCTGAAGTTCTCTTCTTGACCCAGTTTGTTCAGCACAATCACCGTTCAGTCTGCAGAGGGAGCCCAGGTTCTAAAAAACTGTTTAAAATGAAAAAGCGTTCCTTTATTTCCTGTACTGAGCCTGTACTCTCCAAAGACACCATCTGTCATCAAGTGAAAGGCTAAACAAAATAATTTACTTAAATTGGACCTAACAGTATTTTATCAACACTTTCAATTTCTGAGAATTGGAAACAAAACTGGATTGATGTAAGGTTCTAACGGTCTGCAACATGACAAATAACCATCCTGCTGGACCTGCAGTTTTTAGATGAATCACAGCTTTTAATAACGTCAGGACGCTGGAATCATTTCCTTGACATAAACTTGTTTTTTCAATGATCTGTTCAAACTGTTCCATCTATCCATCATCTTCCACTTGTTCCAAATCAGCTTGAGCAGGGAGGCCCAGACATCTCTTTGCACAGCCACCAGCTCTTCTGGGAGGACTCCCAACACATTCCCCGGCCAACCGAGAGATGTAGTCTCTTCAGAGTGTACTGGGTCTTCCCCGGGGTCTCCTCTCAGTTGGACATGCCCGAAGCACCTCCCTAGGGGGCATCCTAACCAGATGCCCGAACCACCTCAACTGGCTCCTCTCAATGTGGAGGAGCAGCGGTTCTACTCTGAGTCTCCCAGATAACTGAACTTCTCACCCTATCTCTAAGGGAGAGTCCAACTACCCTGCAGAGGAAACTCATTTCAACTGCCTGTGTCCGCGAGCTCATTCTTTCGGTCACTACCCAGAGCTCATGACTATAGGTGAGGGGAGGAACGTAGACCGGTAAACAGAGAGCTCTGTCTTACAGCTCGGCTCTTTCTTCACCACTACGAACCGGTACAGAGTCCGCAATACTGCAGAGGCTGCACCAATCCATCTGCCAATCTCACGCTCCATCCTTCCCTCACTTGTGAACAAAAACCTGCACTTGAGGCAGAACCTCACCCTTGACCCAAAGAGAGCAATCCACCCTTTTCTGACTGAGGACCATGGCCTCAAATTTGGAGGTGCTGATTTTCATCCCTGCCGCTTCACATTTGGCTGTGAACCGCTCCAGTGAGAGCTGGAGGTCACGGCACGATGACACCAACAGGACCACATCATCCGCAAAGAGCAGAGATGAATCCTGAGGCCCCCGAACTGTTCAAACTGTTGTTTGTGTTAAATGTGTTCTTGGTTGGTGTCTGAAGCCGTTTCTGATTTCCAGAAAAAACACACAAATCTAGGAAACACAAGTAAACCTACAGTCTGGGAGCAAAGTGCTCTGTTAAGAAAACATGAAACAATAAGATCTGCAGTATAAGATGGAGCATTGTTGTTAAGAGCCCTGTGTGTTAAATGCAACACAAGCCGTGCATCAGAATGAATGCTTCCATTTCCATGTACGGTTCTACAACGACAGAAGCTGACACTCTGCTGAATCCAGTGATATTATTTGACATTGGTCTATTTTCAAGAGTCACCGCTTCTGAAAACTAATCAAGAACTCTTTCAGTGTTCTCAATCCCCCTTTGGACATTAGGTTTCTGTAGCAACTCAAAGCCCTTTTTAATTGACTTTTTTCTTGCCTAGTTGTGGCTTTGTTTTAAATTAAAAGTATAAAATGGATGAGGAAAGATTACTTGTTGAAATATTTGGCTCCATGCACCCAGTATCTAATGAAAGTGGCCTTCTGTTTCCTCTGTTTTCTGAGCTGGAAGCTAAAATCGAATCGTTTAACAAATGTCCCTCTTACTGTATGGGATCCAGACAGACTGTCTTTCAGAACCAAAGTGCGACAGTGTCTCCTCTAATTAACCTTTAGCGTGCTGGGGAGATGACTCTCCAACCTTTACCCAAGAAGTCTTAATGATCTGGTTAATGTTCACCTCGTTTACTGAGGATGTCAGAGGACAAAGGTCACAGTTTGGACATGAGAGGGAGTATATTTCCTGTCAAGGCAGCACAGAGAAAAACAAGATACATGAAGTGCTACCATGGCCACCATCACAGAGGTCCAGAGTAAGTGTTGCTCTCTTTTAAATGTTGCAGCTGTGGCACATCGAGCACAGAGCATTTCTGAAAACCAGCATGCAACTTAGTAAAAACACTAATTATTTAAGGACTTCCAGCTTCTTCTACATGGAAACAATAAAGACATTTGTTTTGAAATTTGTGAAAGTATTTGTAGGCTGGATTTCATCTGTTGTCACTTTGCTTTGTGCCTTCTGTAATTGAAGAAACACATTGATGACATCAAAAAATTACATTACTGTACAAGTGCTGGTCATAAAATTAGAATATCATGAAAAAGTTGATTTATTTCAGTAATTCCATTCAAAAAGTGAAACTTGTATATTATATTAATTCATTACACACAGACTGATATATTTCAATTTTTTATTTATTTTAATGCTTTAATATTTTAAACTCAAACTCATGAAAAAAACATGTTTAAATATCTCATAACATTAGATAACCTAACAGAGTCATATTTCTGTGTATTTACGTGAGTTTTATTACCATATTTTCCAGTGTATAAGTCAGGTTTTTGCTTAAATTAGCATGCCTGTGACTGATACATCGAAGGGATTAATATTCGTTTTTGGTCCCATATTTATTTTTATTTAAAATTTTTATTTATTTTAATTTTGATGATCATAACTGACAACTAATGAAAACCCCAAATTCAGTATCTCAGAAAATGAGAATATTGTGAAACGGTTCAATGTTGAAGACACCTGGTGCCACACTCTGATCTGCTAATTAACTCAAAACACCTGCAAAGACCTTTAAATAGTCTCTCAGTCTAGTTCTGTAGGTTATGCAATCATGGGGAAGACTGCTGACTTGGCAGTTGTCCAAAATATGACAATTGACGCCTTGCACAAGGAGAGCAAGACACAAAAGGTCATTGCTAAAGAGGCTGGCTGTCCACAGAGCTCTGTGTCCAAGCACATTAATATAATAGAGAGGTGAAGGGAAGGAAAAGATGTGGTAGAAAAAAGTGTACAAGCAATAGAGATAACTGCACCCTGGAGAGGATTGTGAAACAAAACCCATTCCAAAATGTGGGGGAGATTCACAAAGAGTGGACTGCAGCTGGAATCAGTGCTTCAAGAACCACCATGCACAGACATAAGCAAGACAAGGGTTTCAGCTGTTGCATTCCTTGTATCAAGCCACTCTTGAACAAGAGATGGCGTCAGAAGCGTCTCGCCTGGGACTGCTGCTGAGTGGTCCAAAGTTGTGTTCTCTGATTAAATTAAATGTTGCATTTCATTTGGAAATCAAGGTCCCAGAGTCTGGAGGAAGAGAGGAGAGGCACATAATCCACATTGCTTGAGGTCCAGTGTCAAGTTTCCACAGTCATTGATGGTTTGGGGGGCCATGTCACCTGCTGGTGTTGGTCTACCGTGTTTTCTGAGGTCCAAGGTCAACACAGCCGTCTACCAGGAAGTTTTAGAGCACTTCATGCTTCCTGCTGCTGACCAACTTTATGGAGATGCAGATTTCATTTTCCAACAGGACTTGGTGTCTGCACACAGTGCCAAAGTTACCAGTATCTGGTTTAAGGACCATGGTATCCCTGTTCTTAATTGGCCAGCAAACTCACCTGACCTTAACCCCATAGAAAATCTATGAGGTATTGTGAAGAAGACGATACAATATGCCAGACCCAACAATTCAGAAGAGCTGAAGGCCACTATGAGAGCAGCCTGGGCTCTCATAACGCCTGAGCAGTGCCACAGACTGATCCACTCCATGCCACGCTGCATTGCTGCAGTAACGGGTGGCTGTGGCTGAGTGATTAGAGCAGTCGTCCTCCAATGCAAGAGTTGGGGGTTCGAATCCACCAGCAGTCACATGCCAAAGTGTCGCTGGGCAAGACACTGAACCCTTTGTTGCCTCCGATGTGTGTCCCATTGGTGTATGAATGTGATCTAAAGCTCTGATTAGTCTCTTTAGAACGATTTGTTCAATTAGCTTTGTAGAGATCTAGTATAGAGCTGTATGAATGGGTAAATGAGGACACAGATTGTAATGTAAAGCACTTTGAGTGTCTTCAGAAGATAAAAAGGTGCTATATAAGTACAGTCCATTTACAGTCTATTTAATCCAGGCCAAAGGAGCCCAAACTAAGTATTGATGCTGTATGTGCTCATACTTTTCATGTTCATACTTTTCAGTTGGCCAACATTTCTATAAGCCCCTTTTTTATTGGTCTTAAGTAAAATTCTAATTTTCTGAGATACTGAATTTGAGGTTTTCATTACTTGTCAGCTATAATCATCAACATTAAAAGAAATACAAAGTTTGTTTTCTCAGTCATCCAGGTATATAACAACAAAAAAGGTTGAATCATGTCTGGGCTTCTGGGTAATACCAGATGGCTAGGCCTCAGACTGACGAAGCCTCTTGGATGAGGGGTGAAACGTTTCTTTTTTAATTAAAAGAAATAAACATTTGAAATACATCAGTCTGTGTGTAATGAATGAATATAATATACAAGTTTCACTTTTTGAATGAAATTACTGAAATAAATCAATGTTTTAATTTTATGACCAGCACCTGTATGTATGCAGACAGGCAGACAGAGAACTACAGCAACACTGATTTTGTATGTATTTTGACTCTTGTAGCACCAGACTGAACACATAGTCTGCATGTCTGATGTGACTTTAAGTAGAAATTTAGTGTGAACTTTTTCTGACATCCATTCATCCTTTATCTTTACCTGCTTCTTCCTGTTTTTGTGTCACCGGGTCACCGGTGTCCACATCCAGCTATCATTGTACAAAAGGTGAGGGACACTCTGGACAGGTCTCCAGTCCATCACAGGACCACGTAGAGACAAATGAAACAAACAACCATTCACTCTCTCACTCTCACCTAGGGACAATTTTAGAGTTAACAATCAGTCTAACATGCATGTTTTTGGTCTGTGGGAGGAAACTGGAGTACACAGAGAAAACCCACACAGCACGGGGAGAACATGCAAACTCCACACAGAAAGGCCTCTGGCTGGGATTTGAACCAGCAACCTTCTTGCCGAGAAGCAACAGCTCTACCAACAGCTCTACCATGCCACCCCTTTTTCTAGCAGTAAAATGAAATGTTGCACACATCGTAATGAAAAACAAACAATGATCATGATCTGTTTGCCTGTATAATGCTGATTACCCTGTTTATTGCCATTTCCATTGAAAAACTAGCCCACATGCATTGTTTGTCTTCCAAGACTCATCATCCCTATGGACTTAGCTGCCATGTCTGTTTGTCTTGCAGGGCTGGGTATCGTTCTGATGGGATTTGGCTTGTTTTTTCTGCTCTTTGGTGTGCTGCTGTACTTTGACACAGTTCTGTTAGCCTTTGGGAATGTGAGTTATCTCTTGCTCATTCATCACAAAATTGGCAAATTCACATTTTTCTCAAACTCATGATCTTCATATTCCTCATGTCACTGAACGAATCCCAATTTTCAGACAAGTGCATTCAGTTTATTGTGCTACGCTGTTCTTCCAGTTGTGCACATTTATTACAATTACACAAAACTCGTTTGTTTTATAGATTAGACTTCAAACTTTGATGATTTGTCACAAAATGCATCACTGCCTCATAATTACAGAAAATTTTCAGTGTTTGGCAGGGGACGACAGAGTTCAACTTTGACCCAAAAAGTGTAGTGATTGAAGGCTTAGCATTCCTTGAAGGAATGCATATCAACCGCTAGCTTTCATGCCAGAGTTTTAGACTGATTGAGAAATAATGCAAACGTTGGTCGTTTTGCATGATCTACGTGGATCATGATCATGTGTTGTAAATGACACTCAGCTTCTAACACACCCAATTTTAGCTCAATATCTCTCACATTTGCTGAGATGTGGCCATTTTTTGTTAGCCAAGCTTAATTAGTTGTGGCAGCTATCTTGAACTGAATTGAGTTTAGAGGGTAATCAGTTGTAGATGTCAACCCAGTTATTTCCATCTCCCATCACTTACCTGCAGTTGGTTTGCAAAAGCAACAGGTCCAGGAGAGAAACTCAGACCTCCCTCTTCCCAGCGACACTCTCCAGCTCCTCCTTGAGGACCCCAAGGCGTTCCCAGGTCAGAGAAGATACACCATCCCTCTAGCTACTTCTGGGTTTTCCCTGGGGTCTCCTACCAGTGGAATGTGCCTGGAGACCCTCTAAAGGGATGCAGAGGCATCCTAATCAGATGAACCACCTCAACTGACTCCTTTTGACGCAAAGGAGCAGCAGCTCTACTCCGGATGACGGAGCTCATCACTCTAGCTCTAAGGCAGAACCCGGCCACCCAACAAAATAAGCTAATATAGTCGCATGTATCTAGGTCTTTCTTATCATGATCTGGTAATGGATTGAACCCAATTTGCAGAGAACATGGGGAACTCGAGGGATAAGGTAAGAATAATATTTATTAAAAAAAAAAAAAAAGGCTGACGTGGCAGAAAAACTTACATTTATCGACTAGGAGACATGGAGGGAGACAAAACACGACACTTTGACAAGACAATCCCTGACAATGGCCTTATTCCTGTTCCCCTGACAATCGGACAGGGGAACTACAAGGAGACGCAGACTATATAAGGACAAGAGACAATGATGAACACCTGGGGTGATTGGAATAGAGGACAGTTGTGACAGGAGCAGGAAAACACAAAGATCACAAAACACAAATACACACCGATCCTCAAATTTCTTCACCATGACCAACTGAAGGAAGGCCCTCATTAATGATGATGAGGCCCCAATCTGTTGATCCATTTCCTGCTCTATACTACCATCACTCAGGAACAAGACACCAAGATACTTAAAGTCCTCCACCTGAGGCAAAGAGTCCTACCTGACCCGGAGGAGGCATTCCACCTGTTTCTGGTTGCAAACCATGACCTCAGACTTGGAGGAACTGACTCTCATTCCAACTGCTTCACACTTAGCTGTGAACCTTCTCAATGCAAGCTGAAGGTCTTGACCTGAAGACACTAGCAAAACCACATAATTGGCATGAAGCAGACATGAGACTGAGGTTTCCAAGCCAGACACCTTCCACTCCACGACTGTGCCTCGAGATACTGTCCTTGAACACCACGAACAGGAACAGAGACAAGGGACAGCCCTGGCACAGTCCAACCTGAATCCAATGATTACTTTATGAAAATTACATTAAAACTGTCCAGTGGCCCAAAATATATTCTGTAAACAAGTTGCTTTTAGTTGTTAATGACAAAGAAAACAGGACTGCAGATGAGCAGTTCATCTGAAGTAGATTCTTCTTTAATAACCGAGGTCTGGAAAAAAAGACCAAGATAAATCAGTAGGACATGATTGATAACAAGTCATAATGTAATGTAACATAATTGTAACAGGTCTCTCTTGTAAATAAGTCCTCAAGACTAAATGGAAACTAACCTGTATAAATAAAGGTTGAATGATCGTGTCAGAATCTGTTCTGTTGGATTCATATTTGGATCTCTCTGTAGATTCTATTCTTGGCTGGTTTAACACTTCTAACTGGGTTAAGGAGGACAACCCAGTTCTTCTTCCAAAGGCAGAAGTTTCGAGGAACTTTTTTCTTCTTGGGAGGAGTTTCTTTGATACTCTGTCGCTGGCCTATCATTGGAATGATAGTGGAGAGTTATGGGTTTGTGCTTCTGTTCAGGTAAGTTCAAGTGTCTCTAAAAGTTACAAACAATACTTAAACATATATTTTGTTTATAGTAATGAAACACTCACTTTATCCATCCATTATCTTTACCCATCCATCCATCCATTATCTTTACCCGCTTATTCTATTTTGGGTCACGAGGGTCGCTGGTGCCCATGTCCAGCAATCACTGTGCGAGGGGCGGGGTACACCCTGGACGGGTCGCAAGTCCATCACAGGGCACTCACTTTATTTGCTAGATTTGATTGTTAGTCATTCAGGACAGGGTAAATCCAAAAACAACTGGACTGCTATTCTGTAACTGAAGACATTACCATCTGAAAAGCTTTTAAACAAATAAAAATAAAAATGAGAGAGTTTAGTTTCAAGCTTTCAAACCGTGTCGAGCTGTTTTGTGTGAGCTGTTGAACTTACATGCAACTTGTTGTCCATGCCCTCTTTCCTGAAGGTCATCAGGGTATTTGGTAGCCTGACCAGTGTGTGAGATGTTCTGGTCACATATATGAAGATGTGAATTGATGGAAAACTGAATCACAGACTGTACCCAGGGGAGGCCACGCATTGTCTGTGTAGTTTACCCCAAATTCACAAACAAGGTGTACCTTTAAGACCAATCGTTAGCATGATTAACTCTGTCACTTACAATGTTTCCAAATATCTGGCGTCTGTACTCGTCCCTTTAGTTGGCAGCTCAGAACACCTCATACAGAACACCATGGACTTTGTGGACAAGGTGAGGGATGTCATCATGGAGACTGATGAAACAATGGTCTCTTTTGATGTCACATCACTCTTTACGTGCATTCCTGTTGATGATGCAGTAGAGGTGGTCAGTTTAAAATTAAAATCAGACACCACTCTGAGCAGCAGGACCACGCTTTCCACAGAACAACTGTGTCAACTCTTTTTTTTTATTTTTTATTAACCAATGTCGTTTATACAGAGAAGCAGGGGGG